GCTAAAATTTTATGGGTGGATCACCACTAAATGTGACTACTAAATATTGCACTTCATGTTTAAAGCTTGGCCAAAATCAAGCCAACAGAAGCAGTGTTTATTTTTCTAACTGTCATGCAGAAACAAATAGTAATAACTACCCAACCAGAAACAGATGATTACTTTTCTACCATGTTTTTCACCAATTTTCACTACTTTCAATTATTATCTGGATTTAGGCAGTTTGCAAACTTACATGCCAGTCCCATTACAAAATTACAAATTAGCAGAACTAAATAATTGATAGTTCAGAAGCTGTTGCCTATGCTATGCAAAAATATGCTAATGGTACAATGATGGTAATGCTTCCACAATGATAACTACTTGCTTGTGAAACATATAGCATCTATCTTGTACTTTTATATCCTTTTACTCATTCTGACTATTGTATTACTATAATTGTCATTAACTACTTATTTACTATAACTGTAACTAACTTCCTAATTACTATCAATGTCATTATAAATCTACTATATATCTGCAGGTTAAAAAGTGCCATGCATGAAATGAAAAAGAGCACTTCTCTTGACAAAAAACTACTGCAAATGCTCTTTGCACTTATAAAGAAAACAGCCACCATGGATATATCTAAATGCCAAAAGTTCCCTAGCTGACAATTCTATCTGTAAGAATGACAACCATGTATGTTGGGAGGGGAAAGGGGGGGGGGGGGCTAATGAGAACTGCCAATTTGGCCAAAAGGCATTGACTCAGAATCAAACATTTGATCTAGGTTCTAAGTCATTTCTTAAGGTACAGGATTAAAAATTAGATCCATTTCTTCAGAAAAAAGTCCTACCTCTCTTTGAAATAGCTGGCCACAGGCCTGAATGATACACATGATATACTAAACAGGTAATATCATAAAATAGATAACTGTTAATTTCATAAAATTGCTTTCACCCTTTGTTATCATACAATAGATATCAATTTTAAAAACTCATTTACAATTAACGACATTGGTATAAATATCTACCTTCTCTAAGCTCTTGTCCTGTCAGACACTGGGTCTGACGCACCAGGGATCCTTTCCCTATTGGAGGCGGGGGCAGGTCTCCCAACATGCCTCCCCTCCTCCCTGGGGGTGCCAGACCTGGGGGGAGCATCCCTGGGTGCAGGGGCATGCCCCGCCCTACTCCAGGTGGTGGTGGTCCCCCCCTCGGTTCTGGAAGCCGCCCGGGGTGCTGCTGCTTCCGACGATTCAACCTATAAATTAGAAATTTCTTAAATGAAAAGCTGAAGATCAGATTCATTGAACATGTGACAATAGTGTTATAATATCTAAAAAAACAAAACATCATGAATGGAAGTGCATCATAAGAAATATCCAAACTAATGTATGTGAGAATTTGTTGATGGGGGTTTGTAAGTATCACTGAAAAATGAAACCAAAACCAAATTGCAACATTGCGAATGTTACTTACATTTGTACTATACGAAAATGTCGCTTTCTTCTCTCTGTCAAGTTAAAACTTGGCTCGAAATACTGTGTTCTGAAGATAAAAGAAAATCAAATTAGATCCGAGCATTTCAAAAGGTTTAAAAATGGAATGTGTCAGAATTAATCAAATCTGTAATGACTATTGGTCATCCACGTGAGGCCATGCGCCCGTCTGAAAAATTCTTGAAGAAATCATTCTTCTATAAGCGCCACAAATGAAACACGTCCCAATGCCCATCCACCTCTTCATTAAGACAAATCTATTTCAACTTTTTGCAAAATGTCGCCAAAACCACGAGGGACTGAAAAACGCGTCTTACCCTGACAAGTCAAAAACATGTACTAGTGCGGTCGCTATGTACACAAACTCCCGTAACATGTGACGCAAGTTGTCCAATCACATTAGAGATTTTCACGTTCCATGCACGTGAATGCCCATATTTGGAAGTATCTCTAGCAGACATCTTTTTTCGCCATCTTGAAATTGAAGTGATCGCTGCGCGCAAGAGGGCGCTGAAACAATAGCAAGACATGACTACCAAAAACCTGGAATCCCGAAAATACCTTGTACCTTTCGAAAAATAAACAATCTGCTTTGAATTCCATTTTGTCTAAGACCCAGCATCGTTTAAATTCAAGAATTTGAATTTTTAGCCATTGAAACCAAATATTTGTTGAAGAACAAGCATGCCATGGGCTGTCTCGTACACTGTTGGTTGTTATGTATCCGTGGATTTCATTTGTATTTTAACGCTTACAATTAAATATGTTTGAATTCAAATAGTCATATTGTAATCCAGACTTAGTTTCATCTTTAATCTATGTGCCTTTAGGCTGAAAATTCACGAAAATTTTGTGAATATGCTATTTTTCCACGATTTCCTTTGGGCCCCATGACAGTAAATATCCGGCCTACTATGCAGTGCATTTAGGGCTACATGTAGGGCTTGTGTACATCTCTTTTCAAATTGTTCACCAAAGTCTTATTTCGAAATACAAATAGATAATATAAATGAATCTACGCATGAGCATGAGGGTGTAGTAAAAACTAGGGGAGGCATGGAAATGATTTTAATGTTAGTTCATGTTACGCTCGCGTAAACTTGTAGAGGTAGGCCTACTAGCCTACTAATACTGTTTTAGCCTACATGTAGGCGGTTTTATACAGAAAATTTAAAGTTATCGGAATTCGACTTGAGTGATCATATTTCTCAAATTTGTATTTTGAACGTCAAATGATAATTTGAATACCCCATATGAAAGTGAACTTAATTCATATTATTTGGCAGTTATAAGTGGAAATCACACATTTGAGATGTAGGGACTTGAAACCTAGGCCTAGACCTACGTTTATTTCGACTGCAAATAGACCAGCATGTTTTCTTTCCACTGAATTATTAAGACACACAGTAGCCTACTAGTTAGTTCAAGATAAGTTATAAGAAAATTTTAAAAGGTGCACTTACCGAGGAGAACGTTAAATCATTCTAAAACTTCATTCGTGCTTCTCCATTGGTTTTCACTCATCTTCAGAGTCGCATCATTGATTTTCCAATCAAAAATAACCTTGCTCATAAAACCCATTTCGGATTTTGTTGGATTTGTAAGCCTACATATGATATTATAAGGAAAGTCTTCTTAAAATCGCCAAGAGTAATTATCAGGAGATGCATTGAATTTATAGGCCTATTAAGCTTGCGTTTTAAAAATACGGTCACGTAGGGCCTCTGACTAATTGGCTGATGGTCCGACTAATTCTCTGATGATCTCCCCGCCTTCACGCGCTATTAAACGGATTAAATCATGGATCCGGACCCTGCAAGGAAGGCGCGTGCGGAAGCTTAGAGACCAACAGCGGATTAGTCGGCTCTTCTTTCATTTAGGGTCCGCCATATTTGATCCGTGGACCAGAAGATCCTCGGATCGTCTATTCCGATCCGCTTGAATGTTTATTGCGTGATCCTCACGGAGAATCTATTTAGTGTTTATAGGGTATTAGACGGCAAGCTTTTAGTTGATTCGCCATCTTTGATCCGCGGACTAAATAGTCAGCTTAACATTGTGAGTGCGGCCCACAGTCATCAACACAAAGCACAGAGTTAAATCCATTGCCCTGTTTATAAACAAATGCATTGTATCATGTACCACGTTAAATATGTATAAATAGGGGTTTAGCAATGATCATCTAAAAGCATTTGTGTGGTTCCGAATTGCATTCAGAATTTTCTAACGTGTCACGATGTACACGTTTTTGGTCGACAATAAGCGCTGGCTGTTCATATTTTTGCTTGTTTTAGCGGTTTTGAATTTTTTAATTGTCTACATTAATAGAAACAGTGCTATATTCACCTTGAAACAGACGGCCAATGAAGAAATGGGAGAGGAATTTCCGACAGACGCCAACAGAAATCAGAAGGCTTGGCCTGACGCCGAATATGAACAAAAATACCAGAAGCAAAACAGGAATAACAAGATTGCGGTGATGTCACCACGCAACCAAAGATTAGGGTAAGAGCTAAACTACTTATTTCAGGTCATTTTTTTTCTGTTTTACTTTCAATCATAAAATCATTATATTTTTTATTGGTTATAGCATTGCTCCTCTAGATCTTGATGTTTTTGTTGTCTTGATATTTTTTCTTTCTGCTTTTCTTTCCTTCTCATAATAGAAAATATTTAGCTAAGTATTACTCTCGTTGGTATTCATTTCATCTTGTTACAAATCTGACACGATGTGAATGAAGATCACAAGTCCGATTATCCAAAATAAAACGAATGTATCTTAGGTTTTTGTAGAAAATCAAACTTTTTTGTCACACAATATTAGATGTTATGTAGAATTCAATTGACATCTCGTCCAGCCTACTGGATATAGTTAAAGCCCCCTTTACACTGGACGGCGTCCTTTCTGCGTCGAGCAGTACGGCCCCATTTGAGAGTTAAAAATTATAGTACTTAACGTGCCGACAACTGGCCGATCATTGAGCATTCATTCTGATACAAAATCAATGCTCGTGCCTCCTTATTAAGACCACAGCAATGCCAAATTTCATGGTCGCAGAAAGGACGCCGTCCGGTGTAAAGGGGGTATAAGAAAATCATGGATGCTGAAGCTTGTCTGCAGGTTAAATTTAATAGCTGTGCCGTTCAAATAACATTTACATAATTACTACCTGCATAATTATTACCTGCAGGAAGCCTGCAGTATGTATATGTACAGGCAGGCAGATTGCATTGCATTGGTTTTACTCCTTTACAATGAAAGTACACTTTGTATCATGATTGACGAACAAAGTTATTTTACGTGGTTTTTTAATGTCATGTACTGATCATAAAAAAGATATTATCCACGTGCCCAGGTTTTTACACTTGACGATAGCATTTGGTGGACATTTGGTGTATTAAATAATTTTAAATGGTTTTGTGGGAGTGTTAAAATACAGATGCCTCTTTATGCGTTTTGGTAGATTTTGCTCATTAGAGTATGAACGATTGTAAAACTGTTCTTTCCAGGAAAGCAACTAACACTACCAAGACTACTTTTGCATCACGAAGCGAACATCCATGCAAGCGGTTGCTATCGAACACATTTCTTATTTGTTTTATGGGCTCCGGTTCCACGTGGACGCAACACTTGGTAAATTCAGCTGTATGTCCAGGTCAGTCTCTCACTCTCTCTCTCTCTCTCTCCACCCCCTTTCTCTCTCTCTCTCCCTCTGTGTGTGTGTGTGTGTGTGTGTGTGTGTGTGTGTGTTAATTAACTCTTTTTACCTGCACCATGGGCTAGTATCTAAACTTAGCATTCAATAATCGACATTGTATAAGAGCATGAAAAACTAATACCCAAACGCCTTCGTTAATAACTATACTGGATCCAGGAGCGGCTCGTCGCGCACGAGATGGACCACAGATACCGGCGTCATGGGGTTCACTCGTCTAAGCTGTTGTGTTAGTCGACTAAACTTTTGTGTTATTCCCTTTAAGATTTGACGGAATTGTTATGCTTGTCCTTTGTTTGCCCACCTCCTTCTAATCACAAAATAGGTACTAAAATATTTTAAACGTTATAAAACGGAATACAACGGAAACTTACTCATGAACCCTACTGCAGAAACGTAACAAAAATCATTTCACATCATATTTCCAGGTTACCAATGCAACTCCAAAGTACAACCAGAAGGGTTTAATAAAAGATACATGGATCTTCTGGCTTTACGAAAATGCCACCACATGATCGAACTGTGTGACCATCCTGGGATTGAGAAGATCATCCTGCTCGTGCGAAATCCGCTTGATGCGCTTGTTGCTAACTTTAACCACAAACGAGTTGGTCGACGCAGTGAAGTCACCGACTGGTCCACTGATTCTAGATGTAATGCATATATCAATATTAGCAATAATATCAGTGATTTCAATATTTAAGCAGCAATGTCAGACGTGCTGGCTTAACTGTAATGCCATATTTTCAAATAGCGTTCACGGAATGATATTAAAGATATAAAGAGAGGGTGTTAAATGATAGTAGATGATCTGACTGGATAAATAATGAAGTAGCCCTCCCAGGAGATATGTTTATAGAAAAAATGGTTTAGTAACCCCAATATATTGAAGTTCTGAATTGCCAAATTCCACTTTGCACAGACATCCCATGATCCCTCCCTCTCCCCGGGGTGGGAGATTTACAATTGCTAGTAGAACTCATAACGGTGTCTTTAATTTCTGTTTCAGTATGGCAAAAATTTCTGGACGGCGATAAATTGGACCAATGGAAAAACATCTATGCGTCTCACCTGACTCAGAATACAACCTGCACTCCAAAACCTCACACGAAAACTTACCTTCTTCGCTACGAGAATCTGAAAAATGACCTTTCGGGGGAACTACGGCGTCTCTACGAGTTCCTGGATGTAAACATTTCCGACAACAGATTCCAGGAAATTATGAACGACAGTGAAGGTTGCTTCCACAGAAAGACGTCATCCAAATCCGTTGAAAAGAAATCACAGAACTATAGTATGAACCGATTTTCCCCGGACAAGATTAAAAAGCTCCAAAGAGACGAGAAGCTGGTAAACGATCTTCTAAAAAAGTATAAAGTAGAGAATTATGACGGCTGAGCACCGAAGGGGATTTTGATAATTGGATGTGCATGTAAGGACCCATTCTCAGCGAAGCGACATGTACGTAGATCGAGCCAACTCCGCAATGACTGAATTCAATCAGATTAACACGCCTCATCTTGTTTTTAGCGTACGAACTCGTAAAATCACCAATTTACTCATCCCAAGAAAATTATGTACCAGGCCAAATATAATTAAGGTATATGAATTATTTTCAACAAAAAACAAGACGAAACCCAATAATCTGTACAAATTTATTAAAATAGCGAACAAGGTCTTCAGAATGACAAGCCTGTGTATGTTGCGTCATATGTTCTCCAAACTTTAAGAATCACAGTAAATGACAATAAATTTAGCTGTAAACCAGCTTTTCTTTATTCTACTCAACGCCTGTGCTCACGATTTCCCACTTCAGTTATCCCTGAACAGTGGCGGATCCAGGATTAATTGAAGGGGGGGGGGGCGGATGCGAAGCCGACCCCCACCCCCACCCTCCCCACCACACTCACACACACACACACACTTGGCGTGGGTTCGGGGCCCGCTGAAGGGCCCCGAAAAATATTGGTATTTTATTGGGCGAACGGTGCCATTTGGTTCGGTTTAGAACTATGATTCAGCTAGTCAAAATTCTAATTTCAAGAGGGCACCAGAAATCGAATGGGGGTCAGGACCCCCCTGACCCCCCCCCCCCCCCCTCTAAATCTGCCACTGCCTGAAGAGCAAAGAAACAAAGCATGGCAATTTCGTTTCCATATCTAAAATCCTTTCTTCTCGTATCTTCGCCTGGTACATGTATCATACTTCATGTTGCGTGATAGATGATAGATATTTTAGCAAGATAGAAGATGAAGTTTAAAGAAAGATAAAGGTAATTTAAGCGGGCGATTACATTAAAATGACTTGCAATTTTTTCGATCCGTTCAAATTGTGTGTGTGCAAATTCTTAAACAGATGGAAAAAATGTGACTGAAGATAAAGCCCTAATGAGCTTATTGAAGGTGACACGTTCAACTACTAGTATTTGTAAACACGCTACCCTATCATTAGGTGTAAATTATTAATTGAACTCGTTGAATAAACTAAATTAATGTGATTGTCGGCAAACACCACTTTGGTGTTAATTAATTTTGCACAAACCACAGTCGGCAAACATTTTTGAGTGGCATAATTAGATTAAAAACGTCCGTTCCTTAAGCACATTTGAAGTACCGGGATACCCAAGCATGGCAACCTACGACGACATACCATTTGGGAATGCGCTTTTTTTTTAAATAAGGACGTAACGCTGAACTCGTACCTGCGTACGAAGTCCTCGGTCTCTTTCACAGACTTCGAATGATTTTTCCCTATTCTTGCAACCGTTCACATCAATTTCCTATCTGACGCAAAGAAAATTGCAAATATATATATATATATATATATATATATATATATATATATATATATATATATATATATATATGCACTTGTGTTTGATATCGCTTAAGAGAGCAGAAAAGAATAATAAGTGGCTTTGGCTAAATTCTACTTTGCATTAGGTGCTTATTCCCGATTTCAGTAGCTCAATTGACTGGGTTTTGCATAATCACGCGTTTTAACATTTCTTTTTTTCTGTTATATTTGCCTATCTTTCTTCTTTAGACCTATTTTTGCCAACCAGATCAATCCCAAAAATTTATGATAGGTAAACGAGGAATCCAAAGTCTAAGCTTTCCAGAACCGAATCATCATTTTTTCCTTATTGACAGCCCAAGGTCCCTCATTCAGTTCTTTTAAGAAAAATATCGAAAATGTTCAAATGTTTCGATGTAGCCACCTGGCCGGTGTGGCAAAATGCTGTTGACATCGCGCTACTCGTATTAACAGATGATGGCGAGATTTCTTTTCTCCATTTATAGCGTCTTTTTATGAATAATAGATACGCAGTGAAATTGAACAGATCGACTACATGGGCAGTTAACTATAGTGCAGGTGCACCAGATAAGAAAATTGTCAGGAGATTTTGCCCGTCCCTGGTTTACTGTCTGATTCATCTGTCAGTAACTAGAAACACTACAATTTATCAGATATCATAACTTAATGGGGCGGGAGAGACTTGAACCTGGAGTGGGCGGGCCGGGGATCACGTGACAAAATTCAGAAAGAGCTCAAAGTTTGGAGTTTAATCTATCATCGTAAAAATAAAATCAGGAACGGTTTTGGGTCTATTTTAAAGAAGATAATTCGTCTACTCATTTCTCAATACAATTTGCTCAAAGTGTACCTGGGTCCATTTGATCCAATTGGACCAAATGTAGCATTCAGAAATTGAATTTTTCGTGAATTCTTTGAACCTTTAGTATCACTAAAAAGCTTTTTTGTTTTTCCCTCTGTCACGGACCATATATTTTACTTTTTCTCTCATAGACAAATCTTTATAGCTCTTTTAAGTCATCACAACTATATATCTAATAGTATAAAGAGTGCAAACAAGTAGGCCGAGGCATTTTATCTGCCTTGAGCGCCTTTGCATACCTTTAAACTGGGTAACAACGGCATTATAATGGGAATTGCAAGCAATGTTAAGAGCAACGGGGAATGTAAGAGAAACGTATCGTAAAATCCAATTAAGAAAACTTATTTTCAAAACAACTCATTAATACAGTTAAAGCTTGTGATAAATTAGCAGAGATTTTTTATCAGCAGATCCCTTGGTCATACACTGTACACACTAATGGCATAAAGTACATTATTATATATTAGTAAGTTGGATATAAAGTGTTACTTTTTCACCGGTCTTTCAAAAGACAGGTTCTTAGAATACTTAATGGTAAAGAAATAATGAGCCTTTAGTACGCTTGTCCAAGGTATGTACAGTCACTTTTTTCGTCATAGGAAGGGGTTGTAACGTATATACGTATGTAGTCAACTACTCCCATTTTACAAGAATTAATTTTTTTCAAATAAACGTGACTCTCGGGAACCAGGACCGTAAGCCGTGTGGTGGGGTGGGGCAACTGTCCCCCCCATCCATCCCATCCCCGAAATTTTTTAAAAAAGTTTTTTTTTTAAATCTTTATTCAGTGTTACTATTCTCTTTTCTCTCTATCCATCAGAAGCCTCTAAATTTTCCTTCAATCAGCGACTAAATGAATGCCACAAGAGATACAAATCACCCGTTTGTCCGCATATTGCAGCTCTTCAACAGGTGCCTCCCCCCCCCCCCCTTTGGTCCCTGGAAATGCGTCCTACCCTCCCTTAGCAGCCCGAGACGCAGGTATTCATCCGCGCAGGCATGCTCATAAAGTGTGATTGATTCTAATTAATGAGCAGCACGCTTTAATGATTCAACAATCCACTCAAAATCTACATCGTTTTGTTGTCACGTCTCGATTTTGATCGAGAAGTCATTTGGAGTACTTTTTTCTTAAACGGTCGGGCGGCTATATAAAGAAAGGAGGCTTACTTGTCGGCTTCATTTCGTTTCGCCGGTTTCTAAGCGTTCAGATCGCCAGTAAATTTCCTGTTCGTCATGGGGTTTGAAATTCCAGAACCTTTTTGCTGGGACGAGAGTTTTCGAGTTTTTGTGAGTATAAGGGTCTGGTATTGTTAGAATGTCCGACTTGAACATTCCCTTTGAATCTCAACAGTTTATAATTAAGCACGTTATAGTATATAAGCACGTTATAGTATAGTATAAGTATAGTGACAGAATATACTGTATGAGATTTAAACTTCGTTGGTGCGGAAAAAAAGAGTAATGAAAATAAATAAAAATATCAAAACGGTTTAAAATTGCATGTGTCGAAAATGATAAATTCACATTTGTTGCTTGCAGAAGTAACATTGATAAAAAATTGTTCCCAATTAAATGGGCCCCACAATGCCAGGTTATTAAAAAGGGGTTTTCTTCTCCTGCCCGTCTCGACTATTGCACTTCACTTTCTGGATGTTTTCAGTATGAAAACTTGGACGAGGAACACAAGGGGATATTCAAGGGAATATTTGACTGCGCCGGAGACAGAGGAAACAGCGACAAGCTGAACGCCCTGGTGAAAGTTACAGCAAATCATTTCGACGATGAAGAGGTGCGTTTGTCAGACACATACTTCGTAATGAACTTATTGCCTCTATCGTTTCTTTTTCTTCTTTTTCTTCTATTTCTTCTTTCTACTTTTCATTTTTCCTAGTCTTGTCTTGTTGCTGTTGTTTCTTTTGTTTCTCATCTATCCGTCTGTTTGCCTAATTGATAAAGTCATGTTTTCAGTCAAGTTGGGTTCAACTGGACCTTGTCCTGCTTCAGAAAAGTTCTTGGGCTAAGCTTAGGGAGCATACGAATAAACCCATCTCAGAAGCTGGATCGGTCTAATTCAACGGGGGACTCTCACTTGGTGCAATCAGCTTAAATGTATGACACGCCTTCTCAGGCAGCTAGTGGGCTATTAACTATTGTGTGCTGATTGCACTTTAGCGAGTTGGACAGACCCATCTAGTACGATATATGAATCTGAATGCGCCCTTAGACTGCTAAAATTGTATAGCCGTCTAAGTAAAGCCAACTTTGCGATATTGGTCTATAGTATTAGACATACGTAAAAAGACTGCTTTTGCCGTTAAAATTAAAAAAAAAAAAACTTCAGCAAAACGATACAATTAGTCAAAAACGAGCTAAACCACTCTTGGAAGACGAGAGGCGTTCTATTGGCCCGACTGAAAACACGAGGCTAAACAAACAACTTGAAATGTTTTGTATATGTTACCGAGTAACCAGCTTTCTATTTCCGCAGGGAATGATGTCTAAGGCCAACTGGGAGGACTTTCCTCAACACAAAAAGTGTCACGACGAATTCCTGGCCAAACTGAAGTCTCTTTCATGTCCCTTGGACGATGCAACCATCAACTTTGCCAAAGATTGGTAAGTGTTGTGAAATGATGATCAAAGAGGCTAACAACACATTATAACATCTATGGATAACTGTCTTCACCTATCTTTAAGTTTAGATCTTATTTCTTTGTTAATTTTTGGAACAGCTTGCCTCATTTTTCGCCTTGTTTATTTATCGCATCGTTTATTTTTTGCACACATCTGAAAAAATGTATATGTATATATTAATTTTCAAAGCATATGTTTGTTTTGTTTCAGGCTTGTTAACCACATAAAGGGGGTTGACTTCAAGTATAAAGGCAAGCTGTAGGAATCCAATATGGAACAATCCAGAGCATCTTGTGCTACGTGACTGCTTCGATTGCTTACGTAAACTGGCGAAAGACGCTTAGAACATTCTCAAAGTCTGTTGATTAAATTTGTAATTTAGACATGTGCATGAACGCCTGTTAGTGTATGGTCTGTAACAATCAGTGCCAACTTTGATTTTGTGCCCACTTTATTGAGGCAATATATTGATAGACTTGCATGAGCAAAACAATAAGTTACATGTAATAATCTGAACTTTATATTCAAGCAATAGCGATTTATGGCAGTGATCAATGATTATAAAAATTATAACCTGATTCAATAAAATTGTAACATTATAACTGATCGCCTTCATTAATTTACCTATCTGTGACATCCCAGACCGCATTCACATAAAAGACTCATTATTTTTTTTCCTTAAAATACTGTCTTTTAAAAAGCCATCGGTCTACGTGAATCGACCCAGCTCTGATTGCACTTAGTGAGAATCTCCGCAAAGTTGGGTCGGTGTCTTTAGGCCGAGAGCGTCTATGGGAATAGGGTCTAAAACCACAGTGATAATTGATAGAATGCATTCAGAACAGATCAAATATGGCGACCCACTTAAAAGTGATCCAAGGAACTGTTAGTCCCCTGTTCTGAATGGAGCCAGAGACAGGTTAATCAAATCTTCCCAGTATGGTAATTTTAGCCATATGCGTGTTCTCTAATCATTGAAAATCAGGCTCTACCGGGAAAAGTGAGAGTCTCTCTGCCGTTCATCGCGCCTGTTGTCGTGTCTATGTTGATAATGCCGTGAGACTGTCCTTGGCCGAACTTGGTATGCACTAACATATTGTTAAACAAATACACGCGCCCGTCGACAAATACGGACGGCATCACGTGTCTGTACGGGAATAATAGTGTTGCACCCCTTGGGTTCTCTAGGTGTGTCTGAAATGATAATATAAACAACCAATTGTTTCTATGAAACAATGTTATTAGCATACAGAGGTTTATCTTCAAATCAACATTGCATGATTTCCTCTTGTAATATATAGGTTTTACGAATAATCGGAGCAAAATATTCGTTTTTATTTCTTTCTTTTCTAAAATGCTATGTTTACTGTCTTTCATTTTTATATTTGAATACGATACCAATGAATGCTGTTTGTGCAGGAGCATGAAAGACGAAATCTAGAATGTGCAGGGGTTGAGACGGTGACTTCCCAACTACCACACTGCAGTATTTTGTAATAGTAATGTAATGTGGGACACATTGCCCCTCACAACACAATGATTCAGTTCAAACAATATTCCATGTAAACAAAATCTGTTAAAATTATTAAAAATAAAGATTTGATATACATGTATTTACAATATGTTAAAATTTTAATGAATCACATTTTCTCCTTTAAATTAAGGAGTGACATTTAAAATTGAATATTTTTCCAAAATGTTAAGCCGCTTTTTGCCCAATTTTTGCAAGCATTAGATGATGTTTAGGGGAAAATATTCTTTTCACAGTCATACTAAGACCATTCCAGAGAGTCAGGCTGTCTAAGATATCCCCACAAATAACATTATGTTACGGGCGAGGTAATCAATAGATCACGACTGACTCACCTGAGTCATTCCTCTAGTCACATCCCTTATGCACCATATTTATTGAGATCGAAAAACATATATTACCTTGACATACATTTTAAATATAAATATTTCTTAAAAACCTCAATGCTGTAGGCCTATTCCAGATTTGAAATTTAAACATTTACAGGGTGGCCATAAAAATCGAGCTATTTTAAATTTGAGACGGAAAGTAAAATAGGTCGATTTTTATGAACCATCCTGCACAAGTACAACTTCGTCCATAATGCACACAGTCACAATGTCAACATTAAAAATAAATAACAATAATTTTACTGTAAAGATCTTACCCACCTGGACCATGTATTCCCCATAGAAAAGTGTTTTAGTTCGGTCAAGCGTTCCAGAAAACCCAGTCCCGGCAACATGGACGGTGTCAGTCACCTCTATCACCCAGCCGGCGTCCGAGACGGGCACGTTGCGGTACGAAAAAGAACCACGTGGTCCCGACTCTAAAAAATGGAACAAAGGACCCAATGTTAATAGTTTGGGAAATTTAGGTATTTGTACTGATAATTCGTTTTAAATGAAAAGATGTGAAGTGCCTCGACTATTGTTGTTCGGAATCTAGGCCTACAGTGTTGTGACTGCCGAGCCGTGTCCGTAATACACACAGCCTAAAAAAACTAGCTTAGAATTTTGAATTTATAATTCAGAACAAGTAGTCATCAAATACAGCCTAAGAAAACGTAGGTCTTCCATACACACACACACACGCACACACATCAAAAAGGAAATAATATTGATTTTACAATTTGTTACGATTACCCTTATTGTCAGGGCGCTGACGCCGATTATCCTCCAGTCACCTTGTGCCTTACGGCGCGCAGAGTTTTAGGGTGCTTGCTGAGTTTCCTTTCTTCCAGGAAACGGTCTCAACCAGCTTTTTCTAATGACACGGCATGCTGGTGATGGAATTCATACATTTCAACAGACTCTGACAATGACAAGAAATTCAAAAGATTCTGCCTACCTAAAATGAGCCTGTACTTCGTTATGGGGTTGATGTGGAAGGGGTGAAAGAACATCTTTCCGCCCGCTATTGAAACATTTCCATCGATTATATCAGAGTCCGTTACGCTGGACACATCTATTCCAAAGTAGTCACTGAAATACTGTACTGCGCCTCGGCCAAAGTCTATCACACTCTGATTGCTGAAAAACAATGTGAAAACAGAATACAGAGTTACCTGTGCAGTTGTCTTTCGAAACTCTGAGGGTTCATTGGTCCGAAGGGTCATTAATCTGAATCCAATTTATGTATTATATATTGTGTATATACAGCAAGATGCCACTAGACCACAATACAACAATAATCGCTGCGGGGAATCTGTTCAGTGTCTATTAGGGGATCACGCGGCAAACTTTCAAATTGGTCGGGCATATTTGATTCACGGACTAGTAACACGTAGTCCGTGGATCAGCTGGTTGTGAATGCTTTCGTGTTTTGAGTGTCTTTGCCATCATGCAGCTCTCTATGGCCCCATTCATAATAGGGGACTGACTACAAAGTTTGCCGTCTGAACCGCTAATAAACACCGAATAGAGATCTCATTGGGAAGTGTTCAAAGGAGTCAGCCATATTTGACCCTCGGACTAGTTAGTCCCTATTCTAAATGGGGCCTATCAAAAATAAAGTTAGACAAGCAATACTCACTCTTTTCTGCCTGCACAACGATGATGCCGGAGAAACCTGCTGGCGTTCCTTTCTATCGATGTCCATATTCCGTCCATAGCGAATAAGAAGATGCGTCGGTACACCCCGGGGTCAGGCAGCTGGACATTACACTGACCACTGCGTCTGGCACCGCTAAGATGGCGTGTGAGGAACCAGGGCGCTTGGTGAGTGGAATATCCCCTATGGCCGTCCACGTGTAACGGGCACGCAAGGGCGCAGAGGAATATTACAACGAAAGTATTCAAAGAGTTTTTGTAATTAAATCTCATCGTGGTTACGTTATAATATATGATCTTGATTGACTGCAAAATATAAGCATGGGGTTTCTGGTTTCTGAAAGAGATGAAATCAGTCAAATGCAGGTATCTTCTTGGAAATGTTTACTGTGTTGGGGTGACCTGAATTTGAAATATGCATGGGGTTGCATTTATAAAATAAATGTTTGAACTCTCAAAATATTACTTACGTAAGCCATGCATGTTAACTTATAAAATTATTTTAAATCAAAATAAAAAGATCCGTGTGCCGAATTCTAGAGCCAAAATTGAACACTGGCCTGTTTTTTTTCATGTACTTATTCACTGTAGGTCACTAGTTTTTACAGACCGGCGTTACTATACATGGACTTAAAATAATGTCTTGTAAGCCAACGTTTTGAAGACCACTTTTTGCCTTCGCCTGAGTCCAAGTAAATAAGTGTGTGTATCCCTGGATCTTAACTGTGCTAGCCTATATGTGGTGACGGGGAGGGTGAGAAGTCAAATCGCATTGATAGGGTCAGACACGAAATTTTGACAGTAAAATAAGGGCGTTAATTATATACTTCAGGAAGGTATTTAAAAAGCAAAAAAAAAAAAAAAAAAAAAAAAAAAAGATTAAAGGGATAATAACTCTTCGTTTTGGCCAAAAAAATAAATTTTTCTGGAGTAAACAACAATTTTCCCATACTTACCAATGGTTAATGAATCCATTTTTACATTCAAAGTTAATCCCTGTTTTTTTTTTTGTAAAAAGTTTGTTTTTTTGTTAAAATCTCTGAAGAGATTATAACAGAGTATAGCCATCTATGAAGGTCACGTGGTCTGAAGACAAGCTCAGATATCAGAATAATAGCTATAACTGCTGTTTTTCTCGTAAAACAGAATATATTATATTTTTATGAGTTATTCACAATGTTTTATTGTGAAATACAGACCTCATAGGAAGAGTTATTATCCCTTTAAATTGCAATACTTTTCAGTGCGTAGTTTCAAATATCGATTTTTAAAAGACTTATGAATTACATTTTAATTAGGTAAATCTAAATTGTGCAACTAAACCGTAGATGCTAAATGATAAAAAAATAATTTGTTCGAACTCAAATAAATCGAATCCTTCTTCTTTAATACCAATCTATTTTTCTGTCCTGTGCAAGGAACTTCTGTTTGTAGTCCACTGATAAAGTTGATTCCATTTAGTTTAATTAAGTCTATCACTCTTCAATGAACGCGTGGATGAAAAGGACAAAATTGATTTGAAAATAAACCACCTACCTGAACGTCTAATACACTGTACACTCTCGGAAACCTGAAGAATATATGGACTGGCGTTTCTCCACTGCCAAAGACTGTGTTACTTGATGTTATAACCCACGCGACGTTAAATATGCCAAACATGGTCACAGATGAATTTTTTAACGGACATCTGTTACATCTTGGTGTCTCTGTTACAGGGTGTGTTCCCCTTGCGTTGTTTATCCAGCCTTTGGGCCTCCCAAAAAGAAGAGGAACAAAGGAACAGTATTAGGTATGCGACCGTCTATATCCACAATCTGACAAATGTGAATAAAAGAAACATGCCGGTACACGGGTACATTTAAATTTTGCATCTCGGCTTGGGTTTTTTTCCTGCTAAGGCAACTTTCACGGCGGTGGCTGTAACGGAGGATAATAATAATTATACCCTCTACCAGGGTCACAGACTGATTTTTTACTTAAAATTCACAGATATGTATCTGGCTAATTCTTTACATCTTTCTCAACTGTGTAGCGGGAATTTTTTTCATAAAATTAATGTCACCACTCAGCTGGCTGGGAAAAGAGTAGGATTATACATATTACATAATTTACATAACATATGGCGCTGCTTATGTTGCCAGCTTACCAAGGATGTGAAGTCATTTCAAGATTGTGTAGATCCACATAGACCAGGAATAATGGCATCGATCCATAAGTTACCGAACCTTTACCTTTAAATAAAATTGTGAATTGATTTGACTTTTGTTATATACGGATCGACACAGAAACATTGCTATCACAGTGGTTTATAGAGGCCATCATTGGTTTTATGTTATTTTTTCAATGAGAGGGCATTTCCGGAGATTAAGATCAATCTTACTAGATCGACCTAACTCCCTGGGGGTTCATGTTAAATTGCAGTCACGCGCACGGAAGTTAATTACCCCCTTACAGCTTGTAGTAGGCGGGACGGACATTTAAGCCGGATTATCTGACAGTAATCTAGTGAGACGCCCCACGGGGATAGATCGATCTAAAATCTATGGGAATGCGCCCTGAGACGATCAATATTTGTGTGGAGAATGAAACGTGGAGGTGGGTCACATCATATTAAGTTGCATTTGTAAATATACAACATTCTTCAGATACCAGTACAAAGTGACAATAACTATTTGTAGCAGAGAGATCTAAATGTTATTTTATTCATTTAGAAAAAATAGCTAGTTGCAATTTCCTAATGTTGTCGCTAACATATGATGTTTTCTCATATATAACGACATAAGTGGAGTCTGCATTGATACCCAAGTGTAATTTTAAAGTAAAAAGTCCAAATTAAGGAATATATATCATTGGCAAAGTCTTTACAAACGCATCTTTTGTGCTGCGCATCAGTTTTACCAAGGAGTTATAACAGACAGCAAAAATGTTGTCAACAGGAGCAAAATGGCGCAGTGGAAGCGTGCGGGCCCCATAACCCCGAGGTCCTAGCTCTGCTACTAAGAAGGTTTCCTCGTTTAAACTTATTGTTAAAAACTTTTGAAAATAATGTCACACCGATTTTCTGTTATTTCAAATCAAACGTAGGAAAGCTATATAGCGTTAAATAGTGTAAGGGTGCGTTCACATGAAAAATGTATTTTCTAAAAATCTATTTGCGGTATCTTGTTATCACGGTCTGTGCCCTGAACACCCGACGGCGTAATTACGGGCAGCGCGGGCCAGTTACATCCAAAGCTGTAATTAATTCTCGGCGCTGCCAGTAATTAAGCCGCAGGGTGTTCAGGGCATAGACCGTGATCACAAGATACCGCAAATAGATTTTTAGATTTTAGAAAATAGATTTTTCATGTGAACGGAGCCTTATACTTACTGCTGACAAAGTGAGCTACGATGTAGTTTAACGTCTGCAAACCAGACCAAATCAGAATTATAAAGATTCAGAAAGACCAGGAATAGGGACATCAGAAATAGGGAATAGGGACGTCAGAAAGATTTGAATCTTATTTTATTAAGTTATAATTCATAGCTAATTTCAATCCCCTTACGTTGTCGCTAGCATATAATGTTTCATTATATACTACGGCATTAAAGAAGTCTGTACTGATAACCAAGTATAATATTAAAGTAAGAAGTCCAAATTATGGAGTGAATACATGTGTATCTTTGGCAAAGTCGTCGCAAACATATCTTTTGTGCTGCGCGACCCTTTTGCTAATAGCGATATATATTTTACAGGCAGCAGAGTGGCGCAGTGGAAGCGTGCGGGGCCCATAACCCCGAGGTCCTAGGATCGAAACCTAGCTCTGCTAATTAGCCCCATAATATTTTAAAAAATTTATGGTAGCTTATCATTAAACTTTAAAATGGCCATTAAATTGCAATACTACACACTATACACTTAAAAGCTTGCGGTTTTTCAGGATTAAACACTGAATAGATTTCCTGCGGGCATTACGCAACAAGCATTCCAGTGGGTCGGCCATATTTAATCCGTTATTCCTCTGCTCTGAATGGGGTCATAGATAGGTTGATCAAATCTTCCCAGTATGGTAATTTTAGCCAAATGCGTGTTCTCTTATCACAGAAAATCATGCTCTGGCGGGAAAAGTGAGTGTCTCTCTGCCGTTCGTCGCGCCTGTTGTCGTGTCTATGTTGATAATGCCGTGAGACTGTCCTTGGCCGAACTTGGTATGCACTAACATATTGTTATACAAGTACACGCGACCGTCGACAAATAAGGACGGCATCACACTTCTGTATTGGAATAATAGTGTTGTACCCCTGGGGTTCTCTAGGTGTGTCTGAAATGATAATATCAACAACCAATTATTTCTATGAAACAATGTTATTAGCATACAGAGGTTTATCTTCAAACCAAGATTGCATGTTTTTCTCTTGTAATTTATAGGTTTTACAAATAATCGAAGCAAAATTTCCTTTTTTTTTTTCTAAAATGCTTTGTGTACTGTCTTTTATTTTTATATTTGAAAACGATGCCAATGAATGTTGTTTGCGAAGGTGCATGAAAAGCGGAAACTAGAATGTGCAGTGGTTGAGACGGTGACTTCCCAACTACCACACTGTAGTATTTTGTAATAGTAATGTAATGTGGGACACATTGCCCCTCACAACACAATGATTCAGTTCAAACAACATTCCATGTAAACAAAATATAATTATTAAAGATAGAGATCTGATATCCATGTATTTACAATATGTTAAAATTTTAATGAATCACATTTTTCCCTTTAAATTAAGAGTTGACATTCTAAATTGAATATTTTCCCAAAATGTTACCCCGCTTTTTGTCCTATTTTTGCAAGCATTAGATGATGTTTAGGGGAAAATATTCTATTCACAGTCATATTAAGACCATGCCAAAGAGTACTGCTCTAAGATATCCCAACATATAGTATAATGTTGCGGGCGAGGTAATCAATTGATCGGGACTGACTCACCTGACTACACGTGCACATTCCTCTAGTCACATTCCTTATGCGCCATATTTATTGAGATTGAAATACATATATTACCTTGACATTTATTTTAAATATAAATATTTTATAAAAACCGTAATGCTGTAATCCAGATTTGAAATGTAAACATTTACAGGGTGGTCCATAAAAATCGACCTTTATAAGATTGAGATGGAGAATAAAATAGGTCGATTTTTATGGACCCCTCACACAGCCACTATATATATATATGGTACAATTCTTTTACTGTAAAGATCTTACCCACCTGGACCATGTATTCCCCATAGAAAAGTGTTTTGGTTTGGTCAAGCGTCCCAGAAAACCCAGTCCCGGTAACCTGGA